TGTCGACAACATCTCCGTTGTCAGACAACCTACGACCTGTAACCCCTGACACCTGCTTTTTGCTACGCCATGCATTACAGACAGAAACCACGAACAAAATTATCGCCGCGGCAATAATGGCGGCAAATGGAAGTAGGAGCGGCCGCTTCTGCACCCGTGAACGGAAACGAGCACCTTGAATGGCATACGGTGTTGAAATTCTTAACGAATCTTCAGTTTCTTCATTCTGTGTAAGTGGAACGGAAAATTTCGCCGTCGTTCCACTCTGCTCCTTTCGAGGCTGCTGTTTGGTATCCAAGACTGTGGGCAGCATTCCAGAGTTGAGGGTATGGTTCGTGGATTGATGGAGGCAGAGGTAGAGAAATGATTTTATTTGTTACATTTTCTACATCATACCGCAAAGGAAATAGAAATGCGGAAGACTAGCGTATTCGTAGTATAGATGGACAGGAGGTTCTGGTCCGGTAGCCCCCGATGCTCCGGGGTAGTTCCCTGCATTCTCCCGCGAGCAGATGCCATCAGTAGAAATATCCAGCACGTCTGCGGCAACCTTCTCAAGAAAAGTCTTTTAATGCTATTAATTCTCCGTTTAGGTAGTCAAATACCAAGTAGAGTGGCTTTACAGACTGTGGAAGATTACGCACGTTTCGACGGCAGTATCGACTACAGCGCTACCAGTTGCCTGCTCTTTTGGTTAAATACCCGAAATTCTTATCTGTATCTCAATTTGCATGCAGACTTTTCGTTATGGTTTTGTGTAACAAGAGTCACCAATATTAGCGGAGGGCTGTCGTATACTGCAGTAGAGACGAAAGACTGGGCTCCGCAGTGCAGCTTACTTCCGCCTCCGGCATCCAATTCAAGCGCACTCTCTCTAAACTCTGTACACGTACGTCTACGTGAGTATGTTTTTTTTTCAAGGGCCAAGCAACCTTCTAAGATGCTTCTACCATGCTGCCGCATGCAGAAACGATGGCTCTGTTGTGTTTGCCTACAGGGGTGCCATGCAGCACTAGTTGCAGCTGCACGGTGCATCGATGCACATGATTGGCCACCATCTCTACGCACTATCGCTAGGTAGGATCGCTTTCTGGCGGTTGTGCATGCGTCCCAAAGTACATTCGGGGGAAAACTAAGCTGCTGTTAATAAACTGTACCCCTGCCACAGGAATGCGTTGCCCCCTCGAGTAGTGCAGGATTAAACTGATACAGTGTATATGCTGTCTGTGTCGTCGACTCACTCCTCTGCCAAGGCAATTGCCCAAGAGAGTAAAGAGTATGTCAGAGTCAACTGCCGGTTCGGCAGATGCAACCTCAAATAGTTGCCGGAGTGGTGGCGCATCTAGGGCGTAGACGCGACTAGTTGTAAACGCATCGTTAAGAAACATTTCAACTCCCTGCGTAATCTCCCGACTTTAACTAATAGCCTGAACTTGAAAACACGCCGTGGGGGATGTTGCTCGTTGAAGACGGCTGCGGCAGTCATTGCGGCCGAATCCGCATGAAGTACACGGGTGTAGCTTATCAGCTTATGATTTAGATGCGAAACACTCCACTGCAGGAACTCAATTTGTTTCACTGCAGGAGTGTGTGATGCTTTAGACACTACAAGCGCACATGTGCCGTCGCACAGCTCCGTCGCATTTTGCCCAGCACGGTGCGATGTAATGATGGAACACTGCAGAGAAGAAAGCAGATGATCAACATGATGATCTCCAGAGGCGGAATCTTAGTATGCACTAAACCCTGCGCACACTATATTGCGACGGTTTCACGATGTAAAAAAAGGGCCCCAAGATACTCAAAGGATTTTCTCGGAAGCTGTTGCCACTCTAGTGGCGCGCCTATGCTTCATCCGTGTATGCTTAACCCGTCGGCGACAGCAAATCAGCTGCCGGCCAATTCCCTGATGTGTTTCCTGCTGGAGCAAGGTTCGGACTGTTATCGGCGGCCTCCAAGTCTCGGTTTCTCGGTTTGAACGTGTTGCCGAGAGAAGTACCCCTAATCCTAATCACATTTTCCCTTCCCACGCCAATGATCCCATTTTGGCTCCTTGAAACTAAAAGGAGCATCTGGAGAGCAAAACAGCGCCTTTTTAAGTGCAACTACGTCCGCAAGTGGTGGGCGTTTTCTTGTTTTGAGGACTTCCAGCGCATCACATAGGCGCCTTGTCAACCTCCTGTTAAGCCCCCCAGTTGACTTGCCTCCGGACGGAAACATTCTAGGCGCCTCGTGGGTAAAGCCAGCTATGAATTGGTCCCACCATAAGTCAGCTTGCATAGAATCGCCCAACAGTTCAATGACGGATACAATCGCATCAAATGTTAAGAACTGATTCGCGAATGTATCGGCGACAAACACGGGGCGACTTTTCCGAAGAGGCCTTCCTGCCTGGAGCCACGAGGTGCTTATCAACCCTTCTGTCGCAGATATCAGCATATGTACGTCTTGCTGATCGAGGACATCCTTATCCATCAGCTTCGTTACAATCTGCAGGTAAAAGAAAGGTTGTATTCTCCTCCGGTAATCAGAAAATAGAGACTCCACGTCGATGTTTCTAATGTATACATCGTCTTCCAGCTGTGGAAGCCGCACATATGGGTGACGAGCAATATCCAGTGTCTCATCCGATTCCTCTTCGGCGCCGGGAGGCTCTAGCACCGCCGACGTTGAAGTTGATGGCTGTTCATCGTCTGACTCGATAACAATAGGAGGCTCTAACAGGTCCTCTGTCTCCTCATGTTGCTCATCTTGCGTGCCAGCTATATCTGGAATGCTCGTTAACCACCCATCAGGATCAATGGCTTCGGCGGCACCCCAAGGACCCTGATCCGGAGGAGTTGCAGACGACGCGGTAGCAGGCAAATATACCGCTTCATCACGATCCGGAGGAGTTGCAGACGACGAGGTAGCAGGCAAATATACCGCTTCATCACCGTGAGACGGAAGTGAACCTTGCACTCCTGGCGATGTTTCCTCTGTGCGTTCCTGGACTTGGCCAGGGACCAAGTGGGAGGTCGCGGTGCCCTCGTTGAGCAGCATTGTCCCTCGCGCCGCTTCATGCTCTGCGGCAGCAGCGTGTAAGGCCGAAACCAGTCCTTCTACCCGCGTTCCCGCGTCGGTTTCCGGACCGGAGATCTCCCTTTGGTGCAGAATGCCCAGCTCGGCCTCCAGTTGCAAGCAACCTTCTAGGATGGCTTGCTCATCTTGATCGACAACGTCCCCGTTGTCAGACAACCTACGACGTGTGACACCTGAAACCTGCTTTCTGCTAAGCCATGCATTACAGACGGAAACCATAATCAGAATCGTTGCAGCGGAAATAACGGCGACCAATGAAAGTAGGAACGGCCGGTTCTGTAGCCGCGGACGGAACCGGGCATCTTGAGGAGCAAACGGTGTTGAAATTATCAATGGCTCTTCAGCTTCTCCATTCTGTGTAGGTGGAACGGAAACTCTCGACGTCGTTCCACTTTGCTCCCTTCCAGTTTGCTCTTTGTCATGCAAGACAGTAGGCAGCATTCCAGAGCTACGGAGATGGTTCCTCGATTGAGATGGGAACGATGTTGGAAAGGCCGGTATATTTAGTACGGTTTCTATATTGGAACGCAAAAAAATACGGTATCATGGAATACTGGCAACTAGGGAAGATGTGCAGCAGGACCAGCTCGGCTGGCATCAATGTTCGGGCACGGCCAGAGCACTTGCCGCCAGTGGGGCCGCTCCGCATATCGGAGCAAGTGCCGCGACCTCGTTTAATTCTATTTTTCTGCCATTTAACTAATAAAATTTCAAATACGTTGATAAGTCGGGGGTTGGAGTTTTAGGAATGGGAGAATGCGACTGGCGGCTAGTCCGCTTGCCGCGGAGTGCTACTGCCCGGAGTTGGTACTAGCATTCACGCTTGCCCATCGGTTGGCAACAAAGCTGTAGTGTGGCGAGATTCCTCGTTTTTTAGCAGAGGAGCTTCGTGATTTGCATTTTCATGAAAAGACTTAAGATGGGAATTCCCAAAAAATGGCTATACCAAACAGTCTACGAGTGGGGCATGGAGCAGCACGGTTTGCCCGAAGTTAGCACACGAACATTCAGTTGGCTTTGGTAGGCTGACTGCAAGCAAATGCAGATTCTCAATAAATGTCTACACAGATAGGGCATGAAGTAAAGGAAGTTTTGCCGTGTTTACTAGTGAGGCTGGTTTTCACCAATTGTTGTAGCGAGCTGCGCTGCAATTCATCTGCTGCTGCCGCCTCCCCCGCCATCCAAGGCCCTGAGCTGCTGCGACCAGGATGTGTGCAGACACGCGAGAGACATCAACTGCCTCTCTGAAGCTCTTACCTTAGAGGGTTTGGCTTCTCTGCAGTTCACGACCGTCCTCCAATACGCCCGAGGGCAAAAATTGTGTGTTTAAAGTGCGCGCGCACTGACTTGCGCGCAGGATAGCTATAGGCAGCGATTCCGGTAGTTCGGAACTCTCTGCAGTGTTCCCGCATGCAGAAAGGGAGCTGTGGCTATGGTTGCTTGTGAGGTTGCCTCGCAACACTGATTGTTTCAAGGTCCGTTGCAGCTCATGGCAGCCCGCCTCCTCTATGCACCAGCCTACGGGTTTCAGCTGTGGTGCCTTCGACACCTGTGGAATGGCAAGCTGCTTTTGGGAACGTTTATATTTGACATTTTGCCTCAGTTGCTGTTCTCGATGCTCCTCAGCTTAGATCGAGGACCTTCGCTGCACCAAGCGATTTGTGCACAGTGCCTAGAGCTGGTGCAGTGCTACAACAAGTAGTGTTACAAGGCGACCCCTCACGCAAGAGCAATGAATCCCCCTGTTTTGAATGCACTTCACTGTAGGCAATTGCTCAACACTAAAGTCGCCCGAAAGTAGCCAGCCAGCCTGCACGCATAGAGAATTCCAAGTACCAATATCAGGCAGAGCATGCTACACCAAATAGCAGCACCGCTCATGTGTACGCGGTACCCTAGCATGAATTGTGCCGAGCCGAATTATCCTGGCTCGCTTGCTGCTGTGGAGACCCGGCAGCTCCGCTGTCTTTGCGCGGTTGGCTGTGTCTTGTAGATTCCAGTTTTGAGTTTCTTGAATGGTTTCTTTTTAAAGTTGGTTGTTCTCTCCTTTTTTCTTTTATGCTGGACCTTTGAAAGCTTTTCGACGCACTTCTCGACGGGGTTGTTTTAGATAATCATAGGGAATCTGACAAGTCCAGCCAGTCGGATGTGATGTCGTTGCTGCGTGCACGATGAAGACACGGCTTATGTTCAGGTGCATACTGTTACGTTTACTTTGGTTCTCGAAGCGGTTGCAGGGTGCGCGCCCACGAGTAAGTAGCTTTTAAGTCGAACTGCCCCTCAACACTGAAAAACTTCATAGCCAAGCTTTCCTTTCAGTCATCTGGCGGGGGCTTCTAGTAGGAAGCGCATTCCTTTTCTGTCAGCTCGTACTCGGGCTTACGTTTCCACAGAGACTTCTGCTTGTTATTTTGTTTCCACGCGCGCCTGCCTTCCGCGACACTTTCAGTCTTTATTGTTTTCTGCTTTTCCTTGCTGGCGAGATCGCGATCGCTTTCTTTCACCTCCCGCTTGGCGGGAGAAGGGGACGGACTTGGGATGTTTATATGCTGCGTTTAGAGCTGTACACATGCTTATTGGCATGAGTTGTAAACCACTGGGTGTAATGGTATGCTGTTTTGTTCGTTGTTCGTTTGCAACTGAGTCCCTCTGCTTGTGTTCGTGAACACACGTGTTCGTTTTGGTTTCGTTACTCTTAGCTGGCAGCAGCAACAGTTAGGGCAGTAGCAGCAAATTCACGCTTTGCTGCTGGCCGCCTCCTCAGGTGTTTCTGGTAGTATTTTCTTGCACAGTCGTCGCCATCATCTTCTCTCTCCTCAGTCGGAGATGATAAACGCACTTTTCAGGTACTGTTGGAGGCGCTGCTTACAGCAACAGTTCTGCCCATACACTTCCCCCAGCTGCTTCCTCACTACGCTTCCGCATCTGATGAAGAGACCACGACAGCCAATACTCCTCTGTTCTGTCCTGTGTTGCTGCATCTACTCCTTGCAGCTCAGGTAGTCTGGTGGCCAGCAGTAGCTCCAGCCGCCCTTCCTGCTCCACTCCCTTGTATGGGTGGTGCTGATCGTGTTGCTGCCATTTCTACTGCTACTGCTGCTTCTTGCCGTTTCGGCTGTTGCAGAGCTACAGAGCCCCGTCAGCGTGCGTTTGAGTGCCCTAAGCCGAGTCTAAAGCGTTGCTTTGTGCCCTCATGCTGTATTTATTTTTGTGTACTCGCCCGAACATGAATTTAAGTGGCGTTACTAGAAGGAAACTCTCTAAAAAACACCCTGTTGCTCCAGACATAGTGTAGTTACGCGTACCAACCTCACACAGAATATGTTCGAGCAGCAACTAACGGGGGGTGCTTGACTCTTGCATCGATCACAGTGGTCCTCGGGTGAGAGTTTCGTTACACCGCAAAATTGTGGGCAACCCGTGGTCAAATATAAATATAAAACTCTAAGTAACGACTTCGGGCAGACCATAACATCTCCAAACAGAGCAGAACACCTCCAACAGGCGGAGCATACATGAGACAGCAACAGTCCATCGAGAGCGAGAGCGCCCTACCCGCCGCTCGAATTGTACCTTTCTTAATCTGCTGCATCACTCTGTTTGATATTTGATTTATTAATGGAGTAAGGAGCAGCATTAACTAATGTCTTTAATACAAACTCGACTTGTAAGTGGGGAGCAGTTCCGCTGGAATTCAAGCACGTATGGAGCTGTTCCGCTGGTACCTCACCGGAACGCATCGTTGCAGAGGAGTTCAGTTCGTTGCCCATCTCCATGAAAAATATACCTGTATTCCATATTGACATATTATTTTTGGTGCTGTGGATGAACAGCAATGAAAAAAATAATTTCTCCAACGTCGCCTCCATCTCGATTAAGGACCCATTTCTCTGACTCTGGTATGCTGCCCTCCGTCTTGCATAACCAAGAGCAGCATGAAAAACTGCAGAAGAGCACGAGTGTCGAGACTGCAGTTCCATATACACAGAATGAAGAAGCTGATGATCTCCCAATAGTCTCAACTCCATGCACTCTTCAGCAGGGTTGTTCCCGCCCAAGGCACCCGGATCGGTCCTTGTTGTTTTCAGTTGTCGCCGTTATATCCGTCGCAATATTTCTGGGAATATTTTCTCTATGTAATGCATGGCGTAACAGCAAACATGTATCAGGGGCTACACTTCGTAGGTTGTCTGAAAATGGGGACGGCGTCGACGACGAAGTGCTGGCCATCCTAAACGGTTGCTTAGAGTTGGAGGACGAACTAGGGATTCTGCAGCAAGGGGCGATCTCCGAGTTGGATGCAGACCCGCAACTGCGGGTGGGAGGACTAGTTGCGGCGTTACACTCAGCAGCCGCAGAACATGAAGCGATGCAAGCGATGATGCCGCCGTGGTACGGGAACCCCGTCATCGACACTTTCGCTGGCCAAATCCAAGAACACACAGAGGGAGAATCGTCAGGTTTGCACAACACATTTCAGCCTCATGGTGATGAAGCGGCAAATTCGTTCGCTGATCCATCGTTTGAATATCCTCTGGGTCAGGATCCCTTGGATATACCGGCACTCCTGGATCCGGAGGCGTGGTTAGAAAATATCCCATATATTGTTGGCCAGCATGAAGAGGAGGGGAATACCCAGTTGACGCCTTCCACTGCCGTGGAGTCTGATGCTGGACAGTCAACTGCCGTGGAGTCTGATGCTGGACAGTCAAGCTCAGTGGAGTCTGATGCTGGACAGTCAACTGCCGTGGAGTCTGATGCTGGACAGTCGACTGCCGTGGAGTCTGTTGCTGGACAGTCATCAAATTCACTTCTGAGGGTGCTACAGGCTGGTGACGGCGACACCACGCCGGAAGAGTTACGGGATATTGACAACCACCCGTATGTGCGACTTCCAGTGCTAGCAGACGAAGTGGTTGTCGGACAACTTGATGTGAAAAGCCTTTTTGACTTACGCCGAGGCAAAATGCAGTCTTATTTTTTCCTGCTCACCTTGAGAAAGCTATTTGCGCAGAGAATACTCGGCCAAGGGGACGTGAACACGCTCATAACTGCGATAGAAGGGTTGATCGGTGCTTCGTGGCACCATGCACAGAGGCGTCGCCGGAGCATTCGCCCCCTATTTACAGCGGAAGCCTTTGGAAAGTACCTTTTGGCTTTTGATGCGATTGTGTGTGCAATTCAACTTTTGGGGGAATCCATGAAGGTTCCGTTGTGGTGGGACCGATTCGTCGGGGCTTTTAGCCTTTCTTTACCTCCGCCACCAAAGAACGGGCAAGCTGATGCGGCTAACAGAATGTTGGTAGAACGCCTACGTGATGCGCTGACTATCTACATAACGAGAAGAAGACCAGAACTTAGGGAAGTAATTACGCTTAAGAAGGCGCTGTTTTGCACTCCAGATGCTCCCTGGCACTTTAAGGGTCGTAGATGGGATCCCTGGCGTGATGATGGGAACTGTTCGCGTGGCTCTCCCTCAGAAGAGCGAAAATGACTGCAATCGGCGTCCTTCAGGTCTCGGTTACTCGGATTTGAACTCACTGCCTGGAGACCCCTGTTTCTAGGAATCTACTGAAGGAAGAGCATCCGAATATTGAGCAGCCACTGGTTTACCAACGTCCATAAGTTGGGCCTGCATGGAGGACGCAAAGGTGTGCAACTGGAGCAACAACGGTTTTCTTATTTTTTCCAGTCCCGCCTCTTTCTTTGAATCGCCGAGCTGCTGCAGTCTGATGTGCTCCAGGGGCCAACGCGCACGGGGCCTCCACCGTTGCATATCTTTACGCTCACTATTTGAACTTTCCTGTAGAGTATTTCGTCCTTAGCCTCCCGACGTGATTAGCAAAATTTGGCGGGCGTGTACGATGGCGCAAATGAGCATGCCCTGTCCAAAGCGACAGGCACAGCTCGTTTGTGTTTGCGAGCACCGTACTCTCCTGCGCTAAAACAAACTGAAGTCTTACAATAGATCAGATTTTTAGACTTAAAACACTTGGAGCAAGCGCTGGTAGGCTGCAACACTGGACTTCGTGAGGATTCTGTTGCAATCGCTGCAGAGGCGATTGCAACAGAATCCACCTAACACCACACAGCATTCTGTGTTTGCCGTCAGGATATTCGTTCCAATCGACACGTTCCCCAGGTTTTAATGTTTTTTCGTTCTCTGCGCTCACCGTGTAGCTCATCTACAATACAGCTTTACCACAAATACGACAGAAACAGGGGCGTGCAGCAGTCGCAGTTGAGTCTTACGTACTGTTTACTCTCCCGGGCATTCTGGAGACACCTGACTGCGTCTATGGCGCGGACATAGTAGGCGCACTACCACTTTAACTCTGTACTAGTCGACTGGGCAATGCATACCTAAAAGAGCCGTAGGGGCCATTTGCTGTAGCATAATGTTTTCGAGTGTACTTTGGACCGCAAGCACAGCTACACTGCACAGGAATTTACGTAGCGTTGCGCACGAGGCCTTGTTGCAGCTTCATTCCAGTACGCAGTTGATATATTACCTTTAGCAATCTCCTGAGTGCTTATAAATGATCATTGTAGGGTGACTCCTTCCATGCGTCATCCGATTGACGTCAAGTTTTGGGGAGCCCGTCAGGTGGCGAGACCATGATCGGGCCAGTAGTGCTAGACACGTTTCACTCGTGAATGTGGACAAGCTCAGCACAGGGACAAACCTCTAGATTTCCACTTTTTCTGCGCTTTGACCACCTAGCTGTCTGATGCTACTGGTGCCTTCGAGTGGAGCATGGCCATCCGATGCTTCCTCTAAGTGCCTCGTTGTGTGCGTACTTGCCTTGTTGGAATTCAGCTAGCAAACGTAACTCATGGAGGTGACAACGAATGCTGATAGAACCAGCTTTCAATACTGAACACCTTGAGAAACCGCTGCTAACTCCCCTGTGTTCTCACGACATACACCCAGCGCGAAGGACATGGTTGGACCGAAGTGATCGCTGCTATTTTCTTTATATACAGCTCAGTGATTTAACTGTCCTCGCTTTGAAGTGTGGCTGAGGGGTGGACAGATGCTTTCTGAACCTGCACCGCAGCCGATATCTTCAAATCGAAGCTTACAGCACCTGCACCAGGACTCTTTCATGCACGCGAAAATACGTATACTTGCTTAGAGCTGTGGTATTTTCCGTTTCTATCGGTGTCGTTCTGGAGGCACCGTGCTGGCCCGCTGGAGAATATCCAAGCATGGTACATGTCGCACGCGTCTGGCACCAGATTTGCAGTAGCAGCCCTGTTTTTCAGCAGCACTGCGACAACGTTTTTTGCAAAGTCTATCGTAGCACCGATAAACTACCAATCCGTACCGTTCCGCTACCCCTCTTTTGAGAAAACGATCGTGCTCTCTGCTGAACGAGCGTCCGTACATTGTTTTTTTGGGGAGGATCCACCAACAAAAAGACTTGCATCACCGTCCTACGAGAGGTATAATCTTCAGTGCAAAGGCCGTGGGCTGGGTGGACACTCCCAGGACGGGTGGAGGGGTTATTCGCAAGCGGCTGCCAATGTATAAGAACGTTGAATAATTGGGCCAGCCTCACGATAGCTCGTGCAGTTGCGTCAGATCTTCAGTGTTGGTTATGCGAGGCTGATGCCCTTGAGTATACAAGCCACTTCCAAAGAAAGGGCAGGCCCAATTGGTAGAAGTCGACGAATAAAAGACCACCACAGTTGATGGGACCACATTCGCCACGCTGTTTGGCGCGAGTCTTCGTGCTGCTGTGTACCCGATCCATCGGGTTCAAGCGTAGACCATAGGTCATCCTGTCCTCTAAAGAAAAGGCGTAGACTATGCGATTTTGAACACTGAGACGGCAAGTCACCTGATTCTTGCTCCAAAAGAACACAGAGTCAAGGCAGCAATGTTCGAAGAAGCTACGACGGATTGGAGTTGCATATAGCTTGTTTGTCCCCAGTGTTTTCGTCAGCGTGGACGCCAGGTGGAACTCTACCAATAGAGGGAACGACGGGTTCTCGAACAGGTAAATTCTGAAACGGGACGAAAGGCAAGTTCGTCCGGACCACTTCTAACGCATATGAGGAGACATTTGTGTTCCTGGGCTGGTATTTGCTTGCCGCCGCAACTTTGTAAGAATAGCGAGAATAGTGAGGGGATTTCTTTCGCCGAACCTCGTTTCTTGCCGGTATGAAGTGTCATTTGCAGCTCTGGATTGATAGCTGTATGCTGCCGTCCATTCATTGCCACGGTCGTGGCATGAAGTGCAGGGTTCTGGACACACTCCTTTGAGGTAGTAGCAGATCTGTAGAGGAGCGATCCCATGACACTTTGGCTCATGCTCGTCGTTGCTTCAGTTCGCTTACTGCACAGATAATGCTATTGGGGAAGTTGTTAGGGGCATCTTCACCAGCTTGCCAGTGGTCGAAGAAAGCGCTGCCAGCTGACGCTCCCGTCCAGCGTTGGCCGTTTGGCTGTTTTATGTATATGGACGACGGTGGAATATGAGTTTTTCAAGCTTTTGGGATTTTGTTTACAGCGGCTGCCAATGAACCTTTACTAAGAGGGTGAGTCAGTCACGCAACGCAGGTGGGTCCTGGTAGGTGCTTGTATTTGTCTGAACGTGCATCCATGCTGGCTTCTAATAACTAACGACGGATATGACCACGCGCTAGGCTCTGTGTGTGATGCAACCTCGCAAGTAAAGTGGTACAGGCTACATCGATGTGCTTGCTATCACACTTGTAGAAGAACATATTAACCGCATTCTTCACCCAGCTACTTCGTTGCGCTTTTAATCCAGAAGCACTTGGTGAATCACCCAGATTCAATAACGTACGTACTCTTATCCACTGCTGCCAGTTGCCGTGTTCACCTCACTAATGTTATATGGGTGCTAATCAAATGGAGAGCAGTGCCGGGGCATTCCCCAATGAGCGCGATGCATCTTATACATTGCGTCCGCACCGCCTGTGTTAACGCTGCTAAACGCGCACAAAAACCCAGAAAAAGGTTCATAAGCGGTCGTGCAGCACTCCAACGTGCGATTGCCGGAACAGTTTAATGAAACAGTTACGTGCCTGTTAACGAAGCCCTACCACGGTACTCCGTGTTCATTTGGGTGCTAGAGCTCATCTGATTTCCGTGCGCCCTGTTGAGGTATGTCTCGGGGGTGAATCTCATAGCTCCACATAAGACACCACGGTGAAGACTCATTAAACGACCCTTAAAGAAACCTTCAAGAGCGCTGCTTGCACAGCCAAACACATATTTATACGATGCCTTGGAGTAGCCCCTCTAGTTGCCCCTACTACGGAAGCAACTAATTTGTAGGGAATAAGGATGGTTTTTTTAGCAGGAGACGTCATGCTCTAATAGACTGACAGGCACCGAAAAGGGCACAATTTATCAATTCAGCCCGCCCTAACGTTCGTTGGCTTGCTTGGAGTCACGGGGACTGCAACACTTCGCCTGCGATGACTGGAACAGTAGACATGTGCTAGGGTTGCTGAGCGCAATCTGCACGCGAGTACTACAATGTGCTTCTTCCTCTTTGGTACGGTCTGACCCCACTTGCCTAACGTAGGCGTTGATGTTCGTTACCGTACAAAGCCACTGTGCTCCAGTGCAGTCACGGGGGGAGATGTTCTGAATGACAGTGCTCCTAAATATAGACAAAATGCAAGGTTCGTTGAGAAATAAACGAAAGCAAAAAACAAGAGAACAGCAGTCGCTTGCTAGAGGTCCACCCCAGCAGTCTCGCGCCTGAGCAACTATTCGCCCATGCGTGAAATACGCTGCGGGGCCTCGAATGTCCTACGCTAAGCATTCGTGGCTTCACCCCGTCGGTGTACCGAGTTGCAGTTTAGTGCATCTGGGCGCGGATCCCTGCATCGATGCTGTTGACTTCTGGACAATCCAAGGGCGCCAAACCAAGGAAGGATAGCGGCTCCAAACAAATGCGACAACCTCAGCCTCCAGACGCTTACAAAGGAGGAGACGCGCCGCTCAAGCCAAACCATTCCTGGCCTGACAGCATCACAGTTCGCTACTGGCAGAGATCGCTGTTAAGACAGGTGTTCTTCGGTAAACTGCGCGGCGCTTGAAAAGTATTATATTATGCGCCCGAGATTCTGCGCAGCCCTCCGCAAAAATCCACTAGAAACCATTAACGTTATCGTGTATGCCCACGTCTAAAAAACCCACATTTTTCGACAAACGCCCCAAACCCCAAGCATGCAGAACAATGGCGAGACATCCGACAAAAACAAAATCCTCTTCAACGCCAGTACCTCCTCAGGCGCAGCGCACCGTTGAATTCTGGCATTTTTTGGGAAGCAACACAAAATAGGCAAAATGCCACACTTGCTCTGGGGCGGTGAGTCGGAACACAGTACTGGCAATCTGTATCGAACAAATTCGCAAATACTACAGATGTGAAATCGTGAATAACCGTATAATGTAGACAGAACAGAGCATCCTGAAAGCCGATCAAAACGGCTTTCCCTGAACTTCTAATGCCGTAAACTCGCTTAGGACGTCGCACTAGGAGCCGCGAGTGTCGGCCAGCTTCACATGCCAATAATTCCCCCTCTTTCAAAAGTTCATTTGCTGCTAGTTGAGCGTTTCAAAAAGCGAAAACAGCCGGAGCATTTTCAGCACTACGGACTCGCGGAGGCACTGCAAAAGCATGCTCAAAACGCGGAAGTCTCGATGGAAAACGCCCTCTTTCACCAGTAGCAGCCGAATACTATGGGCCTAACCCAAAGTTCTCCAGTTTAGAAGAACCACTAACTTGACCAGGAAGCACCGCCAAACCGTCAGCTGAAGTGGACGGCTCTTCATCGTCTGAACCGCCCTCTATCGGAGAATACCCTTGGCTCTGTTTCAGACCTTGCTTGTCCAAGATGCTCAGCGTTTCTTAAATCCTAGCGTGAATATCTGAGACAGGCCTTGTTTCGTTCGGTCCCAAAACTCGAGCGGCCTCTGGCAACGGCAGGACATGTGCAGGCTCTTGGGAGGCATCTACATCTCCACACCCTACGCGCAGTCCAGTGGCATGCCCATATTCACATATTCCTTCTATACTGGCGGCTTCTAGACAGTTGCAGTGAGAAGGTAGCACCAACTGCCACGGTTCCGCATCCGGTTCAAATGTTGCTGTAGTCTGATTAAGCACAGCCAATAGTTCCTCCCTCGCACTTTCCGGACCTATACCGAGCTCAAATAAACTTCCAAGTAGTCCAGACCCGTATTCTTGTTCCAAGTACAAACAGTCCTCTTCTAGGTCAAATCCCTCGGGCGTTTCCCTTGTCCACCCACTGCCCGCTTGTCTTCGATGCGCCATTCCTGATGCCCCTCCATTGCCATAGGCGCCTCTGCATGCAAATAGGAGTGATAACCACCTCAAAATATGAAGTGTGGCGGCTAAAGTGAGCAGGAAGGAGAGACTACGCAGCCAAGCTCGAGACGGTTTGTTCAAATACACTGGATTCCCCAGTGGACCGAGCAGTCTGCTATCATCGAGTGAAGCACGGATGACAGGAGGTTCTTCAGAGATACCAATGCCATTCAAATCATCTGGCACTCCAGAAATATCACCTTTCCTCTGCTTCTGCCGTCCCGTAAAATGAGTGTGAAGAATGCCCGCACCGAACATCTCGGGCAGAGTGATTGGCCATTGGACGTCTTCCGTACAGCAGTTAAAAGAGTGGGGCAGAAGACAAAAAGGTCTTTAATGATCCCCAGAAATGAAAAATTACCGAGCCATAGACCACACTATACCTGCATCTGAAGAGAAGTAGCACAACGGATCGACGTTGACGCTAGGAAACACAAAAATCTAAACGAATCCTACGGCGGAGTATCTCAGCTCGAAATTCAAAGTCTTTCTTTTCTTTTATCATCTAGACTGGCTTAATAGTAATGCTTAATACCTAGAAAAAGCAGAGGAAAACACTGAAGTGATGGAAGGATCCATGTGGCGTCTCAAAGGATGGGAACGGACCGTCTCTGGTCACCTGTTCAATCGGGCGGTGCGGGGGTGAAAAGAGCCCATATTGGTTTCTCTAATTGTTTATAGAGCAAAACAACATTGAGATATGTATTTATATAGCAGGATTATCTAAATTAATTGAAAGGTAATGGGCGAAGCCAAAGCTGGGGGGACTCAGCGGCGTCAAGTATTTGATTCATGTAGGAGAGAGGCAACCAAGTTCGTCTACTGGCTTTTGACGTTCAGCTACAGCCCAAACGTTGCAGAAAGAACATTTTCTAGGATCAGTTTTGCTCTTCCCTCGGACATCGTCTACAATGGCAGCATGTGGGGCGCCGCACGAGGCGAACGGAACGGAACCTCTCGATACTGCAGTTCGTCTTTGGTAGCTGCTTCGTGCAATCATATCCTAGACAGGAAGATTTATCGTTGATTGATTCGAAGCAGCACACTGGGGATGCGGACGAGACTCTGACGAGTGTGCGACATTTCATCCTCCTTGACTCCTTCACAGTTTCGCCGGGAGAAAATTCACCCGTGCGCCCTTAGAAGTAGTGAATTAAAATAATCTCAGTTTAAGAGGACTATAATATGCACGTTTGGCACCAAATCAAGCCATGTGTTTGTGAGCACAAACATACGCAAACCGGGCGCCGGCTCACACACTCACTAACGGACCCAAGGGAAAACACGTTCTACTACCATAGTTTATGTGTATCTCACAAAATGGCTAAATGCCTTGACGGTACTGCATATACAGAAGCATGCCTACAAGCAAAGAGTCAGCAAACACAGAGGCACACAAAAGTGTAGAGCATAGAGGCGCACGGCATAGGCAGACTGAACTGTACAATACCTCCAGTGCGTGTGACTCTGGGGAGCAATTGGGAGCCCTTATGTTTAATGGAAGTGCTGCAGATTTTCTTACTCAAATACCGAGATCAATATGAGCTTCCTGGACGTCTTGCGCTTGCCCATACCAAATTCTGCACTGCACGGTTCGAGGGCAACCAAACGGATGTTGCTTGCGCCCTAGAAGGCGCAAGCTTCTCCCCCACAATTCACGCAATGAGAAGGCCAAGCATTACAGATCAGGTGTGCTCGCTTAGATCCCGTCCGAGCACTACCACCATAACCCTTCATATTCAATATCCTAATAGACGAGATGCCAGTTTCTGTAGTAAGACAGTTAAGACAGCCGGAAAAAGGCACCTCGTTTTTATTTGAACGCGAGCCCTGCTGGCGCTTGCATGAAATGGGAGTTCCAGATATAATGAATTCAGTAGTGTGTGTAGTTGAAGTGTACAGCTAAAACTAGCTAGAGTTGACGGACCAGGACCAGAACCCTACTGGAAAATGCCTTCGGGTCTTTTCGAAGATGTGCGTGTGGTAGCTCATCGGTCTCCTATGCTTTGAATACTTTCCTCCACTTGCGTTCCATGCTTCCCGAAACCCTAAAACCACTAACCCTAACTCATAAACCCTAAGACCTTAATTTTAGTTATTTCTTACACCCCCCTTCATGAGCAATTGTTCGTCCAGGTGCAGGCTTCCTCGCATCAGCAGCTGTAAGGCCTTTTGGGATGAAAGCGAGAACTCAACGTGCTTGCTGAAGACCAACCTCAGAAGAACGCTGCCGTGTCGAGGCATATGCGCATCTTGCATATGCGCATAGCAGCAGGACCGGCATAGAAACAAACACTGTTGCGCAGTGTAAAACTTCACTATTTCTTCCTAAGCGGAAAGTGGTTCTAGGACTAAGATATTCGTTCAAGAATTCCGTTCGCCTTTCTTAGACCGCCAACATCTTCTCCAGACCCTGCTAAAAAATCCCAGCACGGACAGCCGTTGTTGTGTGTAAAACGCATGCAGATTCTAACCCGAAGCACTTGTGCAAAATATCTGCAACAACCGCATTTCCTGTCTCAACGTGGACAGCTACAGGAGCTTTCTTTCGGTGCAGTTCGGTCCGCGAGTCTCGGTGAACCTGTAGTAAGAAGAGTAAATAACGGCGCGTGAGGCGGGCTTTGGAACAAACTCTCTCCTAAACCCAACCTTCCAACTGTTGCCTGCCGATAATACCACACATCAGCGCTACACGCGAGGGTTGCTAGAAAAGCGCTAAATGCGGAGTCAGCCGCGTGCCTGTGCAATCAAACGTAGAGATGAGCTGTACAGTTTCCCCCTGCAGCTTCGGGCAGTTTGCATGCAACTTACAAGCCCCAAACGCGAGCTCGTGCTGTGTCAATGGCATGTCGTTAATGCAACAACTCCTATGAAACATGAAAATTTAGACAAAACACAAGAAGCCATTTGAAACACATGCGGATACAATAGAAACACAAACCTTCTGAAACACGTGCAAATTCAGTCAACACACTACAAAACATCTGAAACATTTGCAAATTGAGTCAAAACGAAACAACATCTCTGAAATATTCAGATTCAACCAAGATGCAAGCCATCTGAAAAACGTGCAAATTCAAACAAAACACTACAGAACACCTGAAATACATCCGTATTCGATCGGAACACAAACTAAACAAAATATACAAATTCAAACTAAACGCAAAAACTACATGGAATATATGAAATTTCCTTTGTTCTGCTGCAGAGGCTAGATCACAGCAAGCTACAAGGCGTACAGAACCTGGTGATGCTGCAGTAGCGTAGCCACTCTATGGAGTTTTGAGCCGCCAGCAGCCTTAATAAAACTACCTGTGGTGTAATTAGCTTTATAAATATAAATGAAGATATATTTGCAGATAACCTAATACAAAAGAGCTGAGATTCGTTCAAGTAGCCAGGCTTGCTGAGGGTTACCCGCCTGAACAGGCAGTGTTAGTGGTGGGTTTGTTCAGATGTGTTCACGAAATTCTATAAATTTCAATTCAAAGTTGTAATTCAAATGCGTCCTGTAGTTTTAGGCTCGTGTTGTTCTCTGCAGCAGCGAGCCGGTGATGCAGGAGGGGGGAGCAGAGAGTAGGCAGCAGTAAGCCGCAGCAGCCCCAAGTGTCTGATTCACTTTGTTCGTAATATATTAAAGGAAGCAAAGATTTCAGTACACTTTTCATGAACAAATGAGCGGAGAAGGCCAGAGATGCAGCAGCTTGGGGGGGCAGTAAGCTGCATGCATGCACGCGGATGAGTCTTGCAGCAGGGGTGGGGTCTGTGTTTCCCTGCTGCGTGTTTCCTATCGAAGACTGCTGAAGCCACACAACTTTGCCTTCTTTCTGCTTTCTGCCTTCATCGCGAAATCTAAATTTAGTCGAAAACTAAGGGTTCAGCGAATACCTCTCCCCCCACGACCGCATCGTTTCTGTACTACGTGAACTTGGCGGGGTCCCGCTGCTGCTGCTGCACCGCAGCATGCAGCAGCAGCAGAAATAGCAGCAGCACGCGCTTCTTTCGTAGTAGAAGACACTGCAGCTCCCACCTACAGCCTTCCGCAGCAGATGGCGTCGCCGTTGCTGCAGTCGGCAGCAATGCCGCTGGATGGTAGCAGCGGTTGCAACAGCAACACATGTAGCTGCAGCAGCAGCAGCTGCAGCTGCAGCAGCAACAGCTGCAGTAGTAGCAGCAGCAGCAGCAGCACCGCAACTGCCGAGGCTTCTGCATGCCAGAGCAGCAGCCTGGAGCAGCAGATGGAGGAGAGGCATTTAGTCTGGCGAAAGAATGCACCTTTCTTCTACGACACTGTCTTAAGCCACAAGTTCGATTGGCCATCCATGACAGTAAGGGTTTAGGGTTTAGGGTTTAGGGTTTAGCTCCTAGGGTTTAGGGTTTAATGCATAGAGTTTAAGCTCTACACCTGCCCCGCCAGGCTGTGTTTTTGCTGCAGCTTTCGCGGGTCGGGGTGGGGTGGGGTGGGTGGGCTCTCGCTCCGCGTGATTATAACTTTTCCTGCTGCTATTACTGCTACTGCTGCTGCTGCTGCTTCTGCTGCTGCTGCTGCTGCTGCTGCTGCTGNCTGCTGCTGCTGCTGCTGCTGCTGCTGTTGCTGCTGCTGCTGTTGCTGCTGCTGCTGCTGCTGCTGCAGGTGGAGTGTTTTCCTCCTGTTCAGGCTACCTCTTCTTCTGGGGCTGTGCGGCTGCTGCTGGGTACTGCTACTGACGGCAGCGAGCAGAATTTCTTAATGCAGGCGGAGGCGAGGGTGCCCCCGCCTTCTATGGAGGTCGATCCCATCGTCTGTGAAACCTACTCGGGTTTGTCTCGGCTGCAGCTGCAGCTTCTGCTGCTGCTGCTGCTGCTGCTGCTGCTGCTGCTGCTGCTGTTGTTGTTGCTGCCGGCTCCTTTTGCCGCTGGTGGCGCTCCTCCTGCTGCTCCTGTAATGCTGATGCATTGTGCTGCTGGCGTTCCTCGTGTTTCACTCGTTGCTGCAAAACGTGCATGTGCTAGCGCCATTGCTGCTGCAGCACCTTTGCTGCTGCTGCTGCTGCTGTTGCTGCTGCTGATGGTGTGGGTGTGTTTTCGTTGAACTTTTTGCTTGCTACATGTTGCAGATATGTGTCTATTGTTGTCTGTACTGCTGCTTTTGCTGCTGCTGCTGCTGCTGCTGCTGCAGGGTTTACTGCACCGCGCAGCAAGTGCACCCGTGGTGGGGGGCCCCCGTCTGTGTGCTCTTCTCCGCTGGAGGTGAAGGCGCTGCTCGTACACCCCGGGGCTGTCTCTCGGGCGCGGCTGCGGCCCCTGAACCCCCTGCATATAGCTAGCTGCACGCCAGACGGTTTGGTGTTGTTCTGGGATTACAGCAAACACCCATCGTTCCCTACATCCCCTGCTCCAGGTGCTGCTGCTGCTGCTGCTGCTGCTGCTGCTGCTGGTACTGCTAATCCTGCTGCTGCTGCTGCTGCTGCTGCTGCTGCTGGGGCACCCAATCTCGCTAAGCCACAAATGGCACTGATAGGACACGGCACAGCAGCAGTAGAGGGACTGAGCTGGAGTGCAGCAGACAACAGACGTCTTGCTTCTGCTGATGCTGCTGGCATCTGCTGCCTGTGGGACCTCAGCAGCAGCAGCAGCAGCAGCAGCAGCAGCAATAGCAGCAGCAGCAGCGTTGGGGGTATAAAGCCTGGAGATATTGCACCTGACGGAGTACAGCTAGCAGCAAAGACACCGCAGCTGTCTCCTTTGTGTGTATACAAGTGGAAAGGAAACACCCCACAAACTGTCTCCTTCAACGATATAGAGCAGCACATGCAGCACCCTGACTTGGCCCTTGTTGCTGCAGAAGACGGCAGCTGCTTGCTGCTCGATTGGCGGCAGCAGGAT